AATATAACTCGAAGCTCCCCCGCTCGAGGCAGACCTCTTGTTAGCTCAAAGTCGATTGAAAAAACTCATCTCCGCCTGATCTTCGGAAGACTCAGAAGAATCTAATGGCAAAAAAAGGATAAACCATAAAGGCAAGTCCTAAAACAAAAAGCAAATAAAAGTCAAGGAGAGAGAACTCACCCGAAGTGGAATCGCTAGTATGACCAGGAGATGGGGGCTCACTAATAAGTCGACTCTGAGCCTCGGGGAGAGGACGGGTCAAATCTGATAGGCCGTAAGTGACGCAAACTGCATTCTGTAAGTAAGTTCTCGTTTTTTCCCACGTCAGTTAGACCTCTTTCTAAACGTGCAGCAGTGTAGGTATGTCGACCACGGATACGAGCCAAGACTAGACGTCGATAAAAAACAAGTTAGCAATGAAAAGACACCAATAAAAAAAAGGGGGAGGCAATAAAATAGTGAATGCCTACCAGGAGCCCTGAAATCAGTCAGGATATCATAAATACCTCCACTAGTGGAAAGTCAATCCCCACCAATAAAAAACCACTCACTCTTCCAGTTTTTATTAGAGCTAGGCATAGTAACTTTCTGTCTATCACGACGACTAGAAACCTTATTAGAGACCTTCTGCTTTCCAGCCCTTTCTGACTCCAATAAGGGCTTCTTCTCTTTCCTCTTTGATAAACAAAAATATTGGTTTTCCTGAGGAGGAACAACCTTCAAAACAAAAGTGTGCAGAATAGCGGAAGTCTCTACAGTCAAACCTCCCTCGCCGCCGTATTGCCAAGCTATTAAACATGCCAGCAATAGATTCCACCCATTAGGGATCAGCTGGGCGGGAGCTAAGCCAACATCACTCAAAAAGCGCTGCACACATGGATGAAGAGGAATCCGCAAACCATGACTAAACATGGCAGTATACAAAGCCGTTTCACCTGGAGGTGGGCTGCACATCCGCTCATCAGGACCAGGACCCGGCACGCGCATAACAATGTTCTCTGGAATTTCATAAGTAAAGCGATAAAAGTCCAGAGTACTCTGGGTAATGGTAGAGCGAATGCTGGCGGGCCTCGTAGATGAGTACCGATCTGGAGATGACATCAACAATGGTGATACCTCAAGGGTTACAGTAATAGTGTCTACGCTCGAACAACGCGTGTCAACCCCTTCTGGTCTTACTTCACCTGTATTCACTCGCTCCAAAACCACAGTAATACTGACACAGCTCAAATATACACTCTCAGGTTCATCTGAAGTTCTACCTGAAAACTCACCGCCCGCTACCCCAGCAGCCGCTCTCTCAGCCACCGCCTGAGTAAAGGAACACTCATCGGTATGTCCCCCAACCTTCGAGGTCCCTACGTCTAATGAAAGCACGGGAGAGGGAAGCCTAGTTGGGTCAAAGAATTCTAAAGAGTCAAACGTAAATTCTTCATAACAAGGATCTAAGGGGCTAACGGCTACCGAACTCCCTAAACCAAGATCCTTCATATTGCATTAGGAAAAAGTAAAAGATCGAAAAATTACCTTGAAAAGTACCTTGCCAAAAAATTGCCTTCAAACGAGCTTCTCAAAGGAAAAGAGACTAGACAGAACCTCAGGAATGCCCAACCAAGTGACTTCAAGGATGCCTAACTAGATGCGTAAATGATGGATGATGTCTCTGAAAAAGCCCAATAAACTGCACTATGCTCCAAGAACCGCCCAAAAAACCGCACAATCAGGTGCCCTGACTACGACCAATCCCAGCAATCCGCTAAAAAATCCTTCAAAAAAACCGCACAATAAATGCCCTAAAGCCTAAAAAATGCCCAATAAACCGCACTATTGTTAAGAGGAAAGACAATTTTTCAAGCAAGATATGTACAAAAAGGATGACGTGATACCTTTTTATATACTTACGTGAAGACCACGCGCCCAAAAGTAGGCAACAAAGTGCGGCTTTAGAGAACAAATATTGTGCATAATATTCGGCGGCCAAAAGAAAAATAGTGTGAAATTGAGCCCTGTTTTAAGCGGCAAGAATATTTTAAGGGACAAGCGCTCACAAAAGTCGGGTGGAGCTATGAAGAACACTATGGACAACACACTATGGATGCACAATGGGATGCACAATACATGGCGCAAATGCATGACATAACCATGCATTGTGCGGCACCCCCTTCCAGCCGCACAATAAAACACTGAAAGGGGGACAGGTGAGCGGAGCCGCCGCCTTGTGGCAGTAGGCCCCGTTTTTGTGCGGCCTATTAGGTCGCACCCTCTTTTTCAACCATTTTCTTTGACYACCGCCAASGAAGCCGCCACCATAGYGCGGATATTTGACRTAAGATGCCCACCGACTTTCTCTGCRCAATTATTGGTCTYATTATAGAGCCAATTATAGAGYGGCGGTTGRCTTTGACAAAAACCTCTTTGACTTTGCAACACTTGTTCACACTGCCATCAAAACCTATAAATAGAAGGGAGGTATGTCATTCTCTTTCAAGTAATTCACTCGAGACTTGCTCATTTCCTCTCTTCCACGCTTAAAGCTCATCAACTGACTTAAGCATCGGAGTGTGGTCGGCCGACACCACACCGGTGTTTTCTTATTTTCTCTCTTATTGCAAATCCAAGCCCCTCCAAACTTTCGAATCAAATCCTTATCCAAAAGCTCGAAGGTCGATTCCCCGGATTACTTGGTTTGCTCGACCCGACCCGAGTTCCCAAAAATTGTATCAACATAAGTAAAAAAAAATTAATAAAAAGAAAGTAAAAAAAAAAAAGAATACAGCTGATCTAAAAGTTAAAAGAGTAATAATTTTGTTTTCTTCATGTTTTTTTTCTTAATTAACTATGCATTCCACGTATGAATGATTGGCAAACCGAAAGTTCAATAAATCGGAAATGATTACTTAAAAAAATTAAAGCATCAAAATTTAATTTTAAAAGTAAAAAAAAAAGGAAAAGAATATTATTGCAAACCAAAAAAGGGGCAAGAGAAAAGAAACTATTCACACGAAAGGAGAACTCTTGAAAATCATAATGTATATATAAATGCACATTCCCCATCATGAAAGGCAGACTTTGAAAATTCTTTTCAATTTTAAATTTCTTTGGTTTAAATTATATTTTGATCTACTTTTAATCTTATTTCATTGTAGTCATTCGGTTTGTAAGGTGATTGCAAACAAAGTCCCACACTGACTAGAAAAGGGAATGATCATTGGTATATAAGAGAGGACAATTATCTCCATTGGTGTGAGGCCTTTTTGGTGAAACCAAAAGCAAAGCCGTGAGGGCTATGCCCAAAGCGGACAATATCCCGTTGTGCTTTTAAAATATTTCTTTGAAGTCACATTGGGATCAACGTTTGGTTTGGTTTCTCATTTTCTGTTTATTGAAATTTAAACTTCAAAACATTATTTTCATCTATATATATACATATATTTTTAAATATAAACATTTTAAAAATCTAAGTCAACTTTTGAATATATACATACATATATCTATATATATATATATAGTTTCCAAAAAATAGTTTTTGTTTTTTAAATTTGGGTACACTTCAAATAGATAAAAAATTTACTAATGAAATTGTACAAAAGAAAGCATCTCATTTTAAAAAATAAAAAACAAAAAACCAAACAATTTTCTACTGCACTTTAATCTTGCAATTTGAAGCTCTGAGAACCATTTTGTTACTATCATCTCTATGTTTTTTTAATTTTTATTTTGTTATATAGTTTTTGTAAAAAAGAATTTAAAATTCATGCCAAATTTTGATTTTTTTTTCTTAAAGTAATTTTAATCTTTAAAATTTGGCTAAGAATTCAAATTTTTTTCGAAGTGTAAAAAAAATAAAATTAATTCTTTGAAACAAAAAACAAAATGGTCATCCAACGGAATATTAAATTTTAGAAAGAGTAATCACTTTGATCATTGTCTATATTTTAACATCAATTACTTAACAAATAGATTACAGGGTTTAAAATGAGTATTCACGTGCTGAAATAAACATATATTAAAGTTACGATTGAGTGAAGCTGGTATTGGTAGTAGACTAACGGGAATGACTCAAATAGTTATTTTCTTTCATGGCTATAAAGATCCACAGCGTAAGCCTCATGGTATCAGTTCCCATAAATAAATAGAAAAAGTATACTCTGTTTATGCAAGGATATGCACAACAATGTATTTCAGATTGCAGCTCGAACTCGGCCTCCGGACGATCTGAATACTTGGGCGGACCTGCACAAAAAGGTGAGCACTCCGACGATCAAGTCAGTATAGGTCGGATTCCCAGTTTAGTTCGAGGTCAGAAATCATCGTACCTGATCGTGGAGTGAGGTCCTCTACTTATGGATGGTAGTCCCGCTAATCTCGCGACGGTTACACCTGGTAATCTCGGGACCGTCGGTTACACCCGGTAATCTCGGGACCGACGGTTACACCCGATAATCACGCCGCTGACAGTAGCTCACATCGGCCCCTACCGAGCTTCCCGGTAGGTCGGACCTCGGCCAGGTTCACCTCGGCCCTCATACTTAGCATCTGTCAACGTTAGTGGTGGTGATCTCGGCGGTCCGAGCTGGGCATGACTCATGAGTCATCTTGGAGTACCAATAGGGGTTCTCCACGTGTCCAGGGTATTCTCTTCCCCAAACATACTCTTTAAATTTAAGGATGAAAATAAATATTTTTGAAGTTTTGGCAACCAAAGTCGTTATTAAAAGAAGAAAAATAGAGTATTTTAAGAATGTGCTAATTATTAAACTTGAGTCAGAAAGATGAATTAACTCTTCCAACAAATTAGATAGTTAAAAAAAATACAAAAAAACAAAAAAAATAAAAATAAAAATTGAGACTTTTTTCGTAGTACAAGTGAACATTGATGATACATGCTAGTTGAGCTACACTCCAGTTAGCTAAAAAAACTGACAAAGCTATAAAATGTATTATTATTTGCTTTTTCACATATATAAAATGTACTATTAGATTTGTTGTATTTATTTCATTTTGATTCTCAAACTTTCAAATGTTTTTAATATCAAAATTTGAAAGTATTTTATCTAGTCATCAAATTTAGTATAAAAATTTATTTCAATCATCATCTTTAATTTTCATGGCTTATTTAATGGAGCTCAAAATTTGTTGACTATAGATTGAATAGGCTCAGGCCATGGTAGATCAACAAGCCAGAGACCAATCCAATTTATCCATTATAAACTTAAAAGCTTAAGTTAAAAATTTACAAAAATTTATTGAATACTTTAATATTATCCTCTCAATGAATGTAACTCGGTGGTAAAGATCTTTACTCATTTCCACGTCAATTTTTTTAAATGATTTTAAAAACCAAAATGAAATAAAACTTTGAGATGTAAAGAAAAATAATTGCATTCTAAATTTTAAATTTATATTGCCTATCTATCATCTGCAAATTATCTGACACCAAATAAAGAAAGTATGGGGATAGGTTTGGTCTTATTTATTTTCAATTACTTTTTCCTCAGGGACCATTCTGCAAATACAATTGCACAAGCATTCTTCCTATGTAGGACCCATGCCCTTTTAAAAAAAATTTAAAATAACATAAAAATAAAAAAGTTGAGCAATCCAATGCATGCCCATAGAATTGAATATGAAGCCAATTTAATTAATTTTGCACCAAAAAGAGAAAGAAAGAAAAAGAAAGAAAAAAAATCAATCAAAGAGATATATAGGCAGAGCATCCAAAGTCAATAATTTTTTAAATATAGTACACCTATTATTATGATATTTGATTCCCTCTATTTAATTTCAACATTAGATTGAATACTTTATATATTTTCAAAATTTGTCATCATTTTAATTTAATAGTGGATATTGAGGAAAAAAAGAAAAAATAAATAACTATAAGATATCTACCTACCTCTTTTAATAAGTACTCATCAGCCATCCGACTCATCCGGTAACTTTATAAATGTCTAAAAATAGGTTGAAATTAACCTTATAAATGTCTAAAACTAGGTTTAAATTTCATTTTGGCTTCGARAATTCAAAAAATTATTATATTTTTCAGTTCTTGAACTTTCAAAATGAATATTTTAACATTTGAATTCAATTTTAGTTTTTTTCATCATTTTGTTGTCAATTATTTGACCGATTGCAATGTGTATTAATGTAATGTCATAGATATTACGATCACATGAGTAAACTGAGATAGATATAGGGTGGGTCGATATTAGATGGTAGAATAATAGCGAGAACTAAGGTTGTTATTTAAAACAACAAAAATAATAATAATTAGGCATTTTAATTTGATCTTTAAAGTTTTAAAATTCTTTAGGCTAAGATTCAATTAGGTTCTTATAGTTTATGCCAACCTCAAAATTTATATATAGATGTAATTTTTTTCAATTTGACTAACATGAAAAAGGACAATAAAAAGAAATAGGAGAAGGTTTTCGAGCTGATAAAAGACGACTCAAGGGCAAATTTATAAGATTAAATTATATAAGAGAATCAAATTAAACTAAGTTTAATTTATAGAGATCGATCAAGGAAATGCAAATTCAAATACAAATGTTAGGGTCCTATGTACAAATTCCAATATGCATTATATTATATAAATATATACAAAGTTCCAAGAAAAAGCATTGTCTGGTAAAGATGCAAATACAGCTGGACAATCCCTCTGAATATCCCTAATATTTTAACAAAACTGAGGGAAGGAAGGAAAAAAAGTAAAAAACAAAAAGTTGTAGCTGTCCAGTTCCTGTTCTTTGACAAAGCAAAAAAACAAAAACATTTAAGGTTGTCTTGTTCCCAAACAAAGCAAAACTCAGAACAGAACAATGCATCCCAATTTGAATCTCTATTCCCAACTAACCAACACACAAACAGATTTCTACCACTTTGATTTGAAATTCTTCAAACTGAATTCTTTCTTTTTTTGTAATTTGTATTAGTGAGGGATTTGTTAGTTGTTACCTGTGTTTTGTGTGGACAGGCTGCTTTATTTGGTGATGTGAATGTTGTGATTGAGAGAGATAAACCTGTGATTGTATTACAGTTTTACCAATGTTGAAACCGGGTACGACGGTGAATGCGACTCGAAGGTCGGGTTGTGTCGAAAGGAAGAACACTTCTTCGGTTACGGTTTTCATGTAGACCTCGGCGAATCGACATCCCTTGTTTACTTGAAAGATCAACGCCTCGGGGTCGAACAAGAAGGCTAAGCAATGGAGGAGCCACACCCATCTAGCCATTTCTCCAAATGTACCAAAGAATGCAGTGTCTGGGATTTTACCTGAACTCACTGCGCTTCTTTGCCTCAGGTTCCCGAACAACGACGACTCCATTTTCGGGTGGATCAGCTGCAGATACTTCGCACGGCAGAACTTGGCGAACGTCGAGTTCGGTTTCTGCCCCAAGAACAGGAGGAGTTCTTTCGATTTTAATGATTTCGCTTCGGTGAACCTCCTCAAGTACACCTTCTTCTGCTGCTGTTGCTGTTGTTGCTGTTGCTTCTTGTTGGGGAGAGACTGAGACTCGCTCGAAAGAGCGAAGTTGGGGAAATGGAAGTTCTCGAACATTACTCGGCATACAAATGCCTCGAAAGCGAAACATTTGTGATCTTCTTTTAAGAAAACTACGTCTGGTTCGATTGCAGATGCAGCTTCTCTGATATCCCAACCAGCAGACTTCATCTCATCAATCATCAGCTGGACGAAACTTCTAACGGTTTTAACTGTATGCCGAAGAACTCGTACAAAGTGATTCGAGTTTACAGTAGAAAGCTCAAGGTTTTCGAGCACAGACAGCGGTCCGCTTTGATTCATTCTCTTCTCTAGAAGCTTATTATTACTCTTGCTTTCCTCCAACTTCTCCTTGAGAAATATGATCTCAGAGTCCTTAAGTCTCACCTGAGAGTTCAGCTTCTTAACTGAAATTTCATACATTTTCACAACACTCTTTTGCTCTGTAAGTTCTGCCAACAGCATCGCAGTTTCGGGTAGAGGATCATCCAACTGTTTCTTGACAAAACATCGTTTCAGCTCCGACAAGCTCTTCAACTCCGACACGATCGTTCGATCGGCAGCCTGAATCCCGTCGACATCAAATGGAGATTGGGCATATTGCAATTGGGCATAAGCAGCCTTAAGAGCTGTAATGTTGGCAAACAGTTTTGCAAGGAGAGCCTCCATTGCAGCTCTTTCTTGCTGATCTTCATCACTACAATCAAACGAGTCCGTGGATTGGCTATCCGCGGTCTTAACCACCACGGTCCGGTTAGCTTTCCGAATTCCATCGACCGAGGAGACTCCGGTAAGCATTCGAATGTGAAGAACTTTCGCAAAAGTTCGAGCTAGTTTGCTCTTTTTGGACGATGTAGCCAATGGTTTTACAGAATCCATCTGCAAAAGAGAGACGATCCAACGATCAAACGGGCAAAAATTCGAAATCTCTTCGAGTAAAACCGAAAGGGGGGAAGGGAAGATGGAAGAATGATGAAGGATGTTGAAGAAATGAGAGAAAAAGTGATATGCTTTTGCACTTAGACCAAGACTACCATTGATGGAGGAGGGGAGCTCTTTTTTCCCATTTGTCTTTAACCTTTAAATCTCTCTCCCTCTCTTTTTCTCTCTCTCTCTTTAGTGTCAAAAAGTAATAATAGAGCATAACATATAAGAGAGAAAGGAGATGATGATGAAGGAAAATGTTCAAAATTTCTAAATTAACAAGCATACATGAAACTCCAACTATGAAGATTTGTGATTTTTAAAGATATTAAAAACCTAAGGGAAGAAATAATATTCAGTTTATATATTGTCTTAATGAGTTTACTTTCAAAACGTTTGATCTATGTACTATTATTTTTTTTTTGTTTATTTTAGTTCTCATACCCTCAAAATTTATGTTTCCGTCGTATGTTATAGGCCGTGAAACCTTTAATACATGTTTATTGCAAAAAAATTTAATGAGAAATTTATAGCTGCATTATAAAAAAAATTTAGTGAGAACAAAATCATGATAAAATAATGACAGAAAAATGAAAGTTCCAAAATAACCCTTTTTAAGATTACCAACATCTTGAAAGTATAAAAATTAAAATAAACCAAAGTTATAAATCAAATCAAGTTGAAATTAAAAAAACCAAAATAAAATGATCAAAATGAACCTAAGGAATTTTGTTTTTTTTTTTTCAGAAATACTAAATTGGGCCCTAATCTCATGATGGGTCTCTGTTTGAAAATTGGGTTTCAGGTGTTGTTGCTTGCAAGTTGTTTGGAATTTAAATAATCCCCAATAAAAATATATATATAAAAGGAATCTTTTGTAGTGTTTTTTAGGGTTTTTTTTTTCATTATTTAGAAACCAAACTCCCATTTTGTTTGAATCGGGAAAAATAAAAAACTCGTATTTTGTTAGGTAGGCCCATAATTTAACAAATTGTCAGAAACAGAATCATTTTTCTAAAATAAAGTTTGTTTCCAAGTGTATAGTAACTTTAGTTTAATTTTATCCAAAAAAAAAAATAGTTTAATATACTAAAATAAATTTAAAAACGAAGACAACTATTATGTCATTTTTAGCCCTCTTTTAAGAGAAAATACTAAATAACTTTCAGATGTATTTTAAATAATTATTTCTTAAACAAAAAGGGCATTTTAATTTTCAGGTCCATAATAATTCCTTTTATTTATTACTATATTATCAATGTTTATGACCACAAACATTTTTAAGAACACTTTTGATTTGTCAATCAAATTTCGGAAGAAAAGAAAAACAAAACTTGGTTTCCTTTTCAAACATGTTTTTTTTTTAACAGAAAATACATATAAAACAAAGAAACTATTACACAACTTTCTAAGAAAAATCAAACTTTCATCAGTACAAATGAAATATAGTTAAAACAGGCAA